TATACAGTACTATATTATGGTAAGATTGTACTCTCTGTAAAATAAATACCTTTGGCTTCCCTCCAGAAATAGTAGGGCATGGCTGAATCTGCTCAATCAGCAGTTGTGTCCCACAATAAATCAGAACTAACATAAATCTGGGCTTTGTTTACTGAGGCTGCTTCTACCTTAGCATATTTCCAGAACAGTAAGTCTGAATGAGCTTTAGGGTTACTTCCGCATCAATCCAACAAAGGTGCGCTGAATGTACAAACAATGTAAGATCATAGTAACATACAGGACTCCTCATTGGGTGTTCTTGTCCAACCCATCCCAGTTAGTGATTTGGGAGATGAACTTCTGTAATGAGGAGACTGGTCTGTTCACATAGTCTGTCTCCTGGAATTTAGAATGCTGCAGAATCTGGGTCCTGAATCCCACAGGACGCCTACAGAAATAGATAAAGCTGGATTTCATATGGCATAAAATTAGAGAGTTCGATGGATGGACCTTAGCAAATCCAGATTCTTGTCCTCATTGAGCCAGAAAACTCACTGGTTGATCTTGGGCTATCTTAGTCTGACTATCCTACCTCACAGGATTGATATCATAAGGACAAAGTGGGTAGGAAGGACAGCCATGTTCCCTGCCCTGAGCCTACTGGTGGGAACAGTGGGATATAAATGAAGCACATGAAGTAATAAAGTGTGTCCTCTTTGGAGGGCAACCCAAGAAGGCACTGGGGTGGGGTGGGGGGTTAGAGCTAGTATGTTCCTTCCCCCATCCCTCTCACGAGGAGCAGATCAAGTAAAGATCCCTGCTTAGACATGGGCTGCCTATGCCTCACACCATGCCTCTCATGTGTGGGAATACAATATCTAAAGGGGAATATGGAGACATGTACATATTGCATTGTTCAAATTTCCATTCATTGTTAAAATCAAAGATTGATTATATTCCATGTTTAGCATGGTATAGTTGAAAGTCCATGAAATGTATACAGTTCCATCAATCATTATCTCCCCCCAACCCCCGGCAATGTTCTTTCTACTCAGTTGCAGGCCCTTATGACACTAGTCCCTTCTAGACCAAATTTATATTATGTATTTTGTTTGGGAAATCTCATCAGAGAAAGTCAAAACGCATAAAGTCCAACAGTATCAAAGTACATATATTGTTGAAAGAGCATATCTGTTAAACCACTTATTTAGTTCCTCCTCGGGTGGCAGAGTCTGGTAAAGAAAGTTTGTTGTTCATGGCACATGTCATTCAAAAGGTTTTCCACACTGTGCTCCAGTGTATGTAAAATGCCCGCCCATCTACTGGCTTGGGCTTTTTTCAGCCTAATTAGAAATGAATTTGTCACTGTAAATACAGAGTGTGGTAGTTAATGTAGAAAAATTAATCAACAGGAGTGAGTTTGGAATAATAGCTGACGAACTGTCTGTACCCTTTGAAGTCCCCACGTTGATAGCCTTCCCTGTACCTATGCCTTATGGCCACTAGAGGCCACTGCCATGCATACTTCACTTACTCCAACCTGGAGTGTGGCAATAACCTGAAGGGAATGGATATATTACTGAAGAAAAATGGATGCTGCCTGAATAAACAGTCCAGAAAGCAGGAGAGTTAAATAGTGGAGTCCTGCACCTTTTAATACTTGTACAGATCAGTGATTCCCAACTGTGGGTAACCCAAGTGTTCTTCGACTGCAACTCCTGGAAACCCCGGCTAGCACAGCTGGTGGTGAAGGCTTCTGGGAGTTGCAGTCCAAAAACACCTGAGTAACCCAAGGTTAAGAACCATTGCTCTAGACCAACTTTTAGAACTGGAGAATGGGAATGCAAATTTGTATTAGAAACCTGCTTTGCAGTCTGGCACATACATGTGTACATGCACACAGAGGAGAGAGAGAGACACTGTCTGTACCCTTACCACAAGGATGGGAAGTTCAAGGGTGTTACTGGGAGGATGGAGATGAAGGCCACCATACGATCCCACAGCAATCTCTGCTGAGATTCTGCCACTGCCAGGAGCAGGAAAGAAGGGAGCATAGAAACATATTCTCCCCTCTCCGGCAATCTCCACTGAGGCTAATTTTTCTTCACTACTACCAACAGCAAGAAAACCCAAATCTGAAAAGTGGGATCACCTTCACCACCTGCCTCCTGTGACCTTGACTGAGTTCACTGTCTGAATGTAAGGGCAATCCCTTCCACCATCTCTAGCTGATCAGATGACTGAGTGTGGGAAGAATGCAATCTAGCATGCTTCTCCTTAAACACAGCTGGGGGGGAAGAAAGCAATCTAGCATGCTTCTCCTTAAACACAGGTTGTCAGGAGGGGCATGCTCTGCATCTTTCACTAAACTTAGAGGTTCTTCTTTCCCTCTATGCCTCATTGAGACTGCCCCTTTTTCCTTTAACTTCCTTTCTTCACCATATTTCCTCTCTCCTTCTGTCCTTTTCTGCTGCTATCCAAAGATACATGTGTATAGATGAAGCTCCACACTATATATATATTCGTTTAACGACGAATTCGCTTAGCGATGACTTTTTCGTAGCGTTTTTGCACTTCGTTTAACGATGGTCCCTATGGGCGATTTTCACTTAGCGATGTTGGGACCATGCTTTGCATAACGATGGTTTAAACAGCCTCATGTTTGCTGTTTTTTAAATGTTATAAAGTTAGAGTTTACTGTCTAAAATGTTTGAAATCATAAAGTGCACTTAATAAACCCTTTGTTAACCAAATTTGACTTTGTTCTGACTCTTTTTTAATTTGTTGTTGAATTTTTCCCCCCATTGAGATACATTCAATAGGTTTCAATGCATTTCAATTGGGGAACCGCGTTTCACTTAGCGATGTTTCCTATGGCGATTTTTGCTTAAGGACAGCAATTTGTTCCTATTAGAACAGATTATCTGGTTTTCAATGCATTTCAATGGGAAACCGTGTTTCGCTTAGCGATGTTTTCACTTAGCGATGAATTTTTGGAACCAATTAACATCGTTAAGCGAGGCACCACTCCCCTCGCTCTCTCTCTCTCTCTCTCTCTCTCTCTCTCTGTGTGTGTGTGTGTGTGTGTATAAACACAAAAACATATATACATATATTCCAGCAGCTCATGATATACAGTAGATATATAGATATAGATATGTGAGTATTCGTTTCCTTTTTTAACCAAGAAGCATCCAGGCTGGGCAGTTCTCTCCATGCTTCTCTCGGCACTAAGCAGGAAATAACCAAATTCCACATCCCTGCAACAGAAAGTGATGGGTGCACTTCAACTTCCTCCCCACCCCCATCTCATCTAAATCTTTCTGGGGATGTTAGATATGCATTTATAGCAACCTTGTAAATCAAAGACAGCCTTGGAAAAATACTGGCCACCTGGGAACTATCAGAATGGTATATTTCTGCATCGGATGCAGGACTTGGCCTTGAGAAAGGATGGCATATATCAGAGCAATAGTCTGCTTAGTCTAAACTGTGCTTCCTCTGGCATTAAAGGCCCCTCTTGGGTGGTGACTGCACCACAACTTTACCTGTTAAAATTGCTGTGTTCCAGTTCCCTAAGGCCAGGTGGCCTAATTTCCATATCAGGCAAATAATCATGTCATGCGCATTGATTATTACATTGTTGTTGTATTACAAGCTGGGATCTTCTTGTTGTTCGTGTTATGTCTGTATAACTTTCCCAACTAATTCTGCCTGATTGATGAGTTGCCAGGGTACATATCAGTTGTGGAGTCAGGCATGTGACCAAGGACATGGATGAGACATACCCTAGCAGCTCATCAATTAGCGACAATGAGTTGTGGCATGTTATAGAAATCTTAAATGAACACTGTTAGAATTCTGGTCTATACGATAAACCCTTAGCACCAATTATTTAGTAAATCCGCATAGCGAGGGGGGTTTAGTGATCGCAAATGCGATCGCAAAGCAACGGCCCCTATGGCCGAAAATCACTTTGCAATGGTCGGTAAGCGGTTCGCTTACCAACCTTCGCTTTGCGACCCGCGGATCAGCTGTTCGGCGGGTCCAAAATGGTCGCCGGAACACCTGAAATGGCCGCACGCAGCGTTTTCGCGCCATCCCCTCGCTTACCAAGGGCGCGAAAACACTGCCCATGGCCATTTCAGGTGTTCCGGCGACCATTTTGGACCCGCCGAACAGCTGATCCGCGGGTCGCAAAGCGAAGGTTGGTAAGCGAACCGCTTACCGACCATTGCAAAGTGATTTTCGGCCATAGGGGCCGTTGCTTTGCGATCGCATTTGCGATCACTAAACCCCCCTCGCTATGCGGATTCGTCGTTCTACGGTGCGCTCGCTAAGTGAGGCACTACTATAAGTACTGTTCTGAGTGGGCCAGTGTAGAAATGATCAGAGAGATGATCCTGTGAAACCCAAGATCAAATTGCTGCTCCATCACAAAGCTCACTGAGTGACCTTCAGCCAGCCAGTACCACATAAGAAAGTGTTGTGTGGAATGAATGGGGGCTGAAGCTAGCTAAGTATGCCATGTAAGCTAGTCATCTACATTGTGTTATAAATCATAAGCAATATTTTGATTGTTGTTGTGGGTTTTTCGGGTTCTTTGGCCATGTTCTGAAGTCTCTGTGTCCAGCATCTTCAGAGGACTGGAGTAGGAACTCTGTCCTTGCTCTTTTGCTGTTTGTTGGATAGTTGAATATTTATAGCTACTCAACTATCCAACAAACAGCAACAGAGCAAGGACAGAGTTCCTACTCCAGTCCTCTGAAGATGCTGGACACAGAGACTTCAGAACATGGCCAAAGAACCCGAAAAACCCACAACAACAATCAAAATATTGCTTATGATTTATAACACAATGTAGATGACTAGCTTACATGGCATACTTAGCTAGCTTCAGCCCCCATTCATTCCACACAACACTTTCTTATGTGGTACTGGCTGGCTGAAGGTCACTCAGTGAGCTTTGTGATGGAGCAGCAATTTGATCTTGGGTTTCACAGGATCATATATCCTATCAAAACATTGATAGGATTCCTGTAATTTCTTACCATCAGTTTGGTACCTAAAACTATGAAAATATCCTAGAAAGCACCATAAATGGCTCAGTTTGGTACCTAGAACTACGAAAATATCCTAGAAAGCACCATAAATGGCAAAGTGTCATCAGATTTGCAGGGAGGGAAATGGAGAAGAAAGTGAAGGCAAACAATCAAAAATAGCAGGGATAAAATAACATGTGAATTCTTTCAAAGATACAGACAATATATTACTATAACTAAAGAACATTCTTGTTTATAGTTCTTTGTCTTATTCAACTTTACGTCATAGTGCACACATTAATCAAATCAGGCTGCAAGTACATGGGTCCTTCTGGAATGAGCTGTAGAGGAGCAACGGAAATGTAATAATTATTTTTTGCATCTGGTAGACCATTGCTGATGTACCGAATCACTTAGATCAATTTTTCTAAAAATATTTTCTTTGCCTTATGTGTAGGGTCAATTAAGAAACTACTTGCAGCCATGGCTTCAATTGGCACTTCACACAAAGGGAAAAGTATTTTCTCAATTTAATCTACATGATTCAGTGCATCAGCAATGGTCTAGCACAGGTGAAAAGAAGAATTATTTTACTTGCCTTAACCCTCCATGGAGGAGCAGGAGAAGTGCTTAATTTTCTGATAACCTGGTGGCTCCCTTATTAAGCCACTTCACAATACAGTACTAGGAATTAACAGTGAAAGGAGCCTTGGCAACTTTGACAGCTGCAAGGCTCAATTTTGGTCCATTGTATGTATTGGAAAAGGACCAAATTAGAGCAAACCTACTTGCACCAAAAAAAATAGAAGCTCCTTCAGGGCTCAAAAAGGTGCAGATGGGGAAATCTGGGGACAGATTGGTTTGCTTTAGTAATCATGTCATCTGATCACCAAAAAAAGAGAGTAAACCAGCCTGTCCTTACAGTTCACCAAACAGCAGGAGAATTCAGGACTCAAAAAGGTGCAGATGGGGCAATATGGGGACAGATTGGTTCGCTTTAGCAATCATGTCATCTGATCACCAAAAAAGTCCTTACAGTTCACCAAACAGCAGGAGAAATGTCCATCTGCTTGATCTCTCATTTATGCTGAAATGTAGTTCAGTGGCTTAGCTATCCAGCTGCTGAGCCAGGGGCTGGGAGTTCGATGCCCCACTGTGCCTCCTGCAAGTATAGCCAGCCTACGTGGCCTTGGGCAAGCTGCATAGTCCTAAAGTGCCCCAGAAGAAAATAATGGCTAACAAACAAAAGGAAACAAAGCAAACCAACAGGAAGAGGGGAGGGACCAGCTAGCGGCAGGAAA